GGAGGGAGAACGCCGAGCCGGTCTGTAATAAAGCAGGGGAAAAAAAATAAAACTAACCGCCCTGTCCTTCCAGTCAGAAGTCTGCCCCTTCGCCGCTGGCCTTGGGAGGCTTCTGGCTGGTATTTTCCACTAGCAATGCCGCCCCAGGAGACCTGGAGCAGGTATGTCAGGTATTTCAGTGCTCCTCGGTTAGTGAGCAGGTCGCTCACCCCTCAGGGTTTCTCCTCGTCATTAACCATAACGACATTGATTCTTGTCCCGCGGTTTTTGTATGTTCCCCCAGTTAATGGTATGAGGTTCAACAAGGCCAAGTGCCTGGTCCTGCTCTTGGGTCACAACAACCCCATGCGACGCTACAGGCTTGGGGAAGAGTGGCTGGAAGGCTTCATGGAGCAAAAGGACCTGGGTGTACTGGTTGACAGCCGGCTGAATATGAGCCAGCAGTGTGTCCAGGTGGCCAAGAAGGCCAATGGCATCCTGGCTTGTATCAGGAATAGTGTGGCCAGCAGGAGTAGGGAAGTGATCGTGCCCCTGTACTCAGTGCTGGTGAGGCTGCACCTTGAATGCTGTGTTCAGTTTTGGGCCCCTCACTACAAGAAAGATGTTGCATTGCTGGAACATGTCCAGAGGAGAGCAACCAAGCTGGTGAGGGGTCTGGAGCACAAGTCTGATGAGGAGCGGCTGAGGGAACTGGGGTTGTTTAGCCTGGAGAAGAGGAGGCTGAGGGGAGACCTGATCACCCTCTACAACTGCCTGACAGGGGGCTGTAGCGAGGTGGGGGTCGGCTTCTCCCTTGTAACAGGCGATAGGACAAGGGGAAATGGCCTCAAGTTGTGCCAGAGAAGGTTTAGATTGGACATTAGGAAAAATTTCTTCCCTGAAAGGGTTGTTAAGCATTGGAACAGGCTGCCCAGGGAAGTGGTCAAGTCCCCATCCCTGGCAATATTTAAAAGATGGGTGGACGAGGTGCTTAGGGAGATGGTTTAGTGCTGGGATGGCAGTGTTAGGTTAACGGTTGGACTCTACGATCTTAAAGGACTTTTCCAACCAAAACAATTCTGTGATTTGCAGTTGTATGGCCGCCTGTGCTGCCTAGTGATGCGGCAGCAGTGTCTGGGTTAAGCTTCCTTAAATCGGTACAGGAACCTTAGATAACCGCTCTGTGGAGGAACAGAAGGGGGCAGGGTGGATTAAAATACCTATTTTGCTCTTTAAAATACCCCATTGAATATTTTTGACAAAATAGTTCCACAGGCGATTTTATTATTATTACTGTTATTATTATTTTGAAGCAGCTTTGTGCAACTCTAACTATGTTTCTTTGCCTTACCAGTGCTGAAATTACAGACTGGGTATGTAAGCTTTACATTGCTTTCTAAATGTATATCCAATGCCCTTCCAGAAGGATCACAGCGTGCTGTATGGGACATGGGCTGTGGCCACTGTAACGCTGCCTGGCCAGAGGAGGAACACGGGGGCTATCCAAAAGGGCAGGTCCCAGATGCTGCACACGTGGCAGTGACCAGCCCATGAAGACTGGACGAGAGCCAGAACTAGCCCGTTCCCTTGGTTCAGGACTCCCTCTGAAATAGTTGAACTTGGCTCTTTCTCTGCCCCTCAAGGCAGCCTGTTCTGGCAACTCAGGGTTTCCCTTTCTGACTGAAGAGCTGCCAGGCGTGCTGGTAGGACCTACCCTGTGTGCTTGGAGGATCTACCTCTTGGGTGCAGCCCTGCTGCCACTGTCACTCTGCTGCCTTCCTAGTGGGTGGCATGCCCTACCCCTGAAAGGTCAAAACATCCTGTGGTGTTGCTCCCCCTGCTAATCTCGGGGCAAGGCTGGCAGCTGAGAAACTCTGTTTAAGCTTAGCAGCTGGTAGTCCTCTACCAGGGGATAATGCCCGTTCACGTCTCATTACGAAGCTGGCTATGGCCTTACATGAATCCGTCAATAAAACATAAGGAATTCAGAATTTGGGTCCGGGCATGCTGTAAATGCTTCATACAGTGAAAATAATTCTCTACAACCGCCCAAGTCTATCGCAGACCTCCCAGAAATTTTACATTTCAGTTGATCCGGCATGGGCAGCCCACAGAGCTCATGCTCCAGTCGCAGTGTTGCAAAGTCATTTTTGCAGGTGGGCCTTTCGGGAGGTAGGTACAAACTCACACCTCAGGATTGGTACTCATGTTCATGCCTC